TTATAGAAATAATATTTTAAAAACTGAGGGAACAGAGCCGAAGTGTTTTGTTACTATCCGGCTTTGAATGGTCTGGATTTCATGATGGCTGCCGTTGAATGATATTATCATATTTTGTTGTTGCTAACTTTGAGATATAAATACATATTTTATCTTTTTGATGTCAACGATTTTAAAAATATTTTTTGCTTTTAAAATAAGTGAATATTATAGAAGAACAAACAAACGACAAAATTGGCGTAATATATTATGAACAGGGGCGGTTTCTCCATTGGTTCATTTATGCAGTGAACACTCAGTTAAATTTCATAAAAACACATTATTTTAATATTACATAAATAACAAAAATATAAATTTAATTTTAATATTTTTATTTTTATACGTGTTAATCTATATTTTTTTGTACATCATTGTCCTCTGGCTGATCGCGTCTCTGTGTCACAGTATACCTAAGTATACTGTGTCTGTGGCGCATTATGATAAGTGAGCCTAACACAAGTGAGACGATATGCCGAATGCATATAGCTAAAAAGAGAAGACAACACGCCAACAGATCCTGCAAACTGCCAAAGAACACATTAATTGGCGCGCCGCTCACAAACACAAAACTCAGTTTACTAACTAATAATGTTTGTAGATGGTTTTTAACGTATTAAAAACAAAATAAATATCACACTAACTAAAATATTCATTTATTAATAGTGCTTGAAAACAGTACGATGTTGATAATAATAACTACACTTAATATAAACTCAAATAATAAAAAACTGCGATATTGGCTCTTGTACAAACTTTTGATCCAAACTTACATATAATGAAATTATTGGAAAAAGTGAACACCCATTTTAAATTACTACAAGCCGCCACTGATTATGAACCCTGAACATCAAATATTTTTTTTCATTTTTAGATATGATGTAAATGTATCACAAATTATAAAATAATTTAATTTTGTTTTTTTGAAGAGTAAGGCGTTTGACTAAACAGCTCGATATTATTTTTTTAAAGTAGGCATAAGAAAGGTATTTAAGATGATCGGTTATTATGTTTTAGTAACTTAATTGGACCCAGTACTACAAATAAATTAGTCACAGAAGACCTGCAAATAAATATAGGTATTATAGCGTTTTAACAGTACCTAGATTAAAATCAAAAATATTAAAGAAAATACTTTTAGAATAAATAGCGGCGTTGTATAAACATCTAACTATTAATGTTATTTGACTTTTTGGAGGTAATTATTTTTGTTTTTTATTTTTTTAATTTTTGAATAGCTTCTAAAATGTAATCAGGTTCTCTTAATGACATCCCCCGATTATGCCTTGGATCTACCAATTCTGGCAACATACAATTTATATAAAACTTTTTTAATTTCTCCTCCATATTTTTACACCAAAAATCGTCTCTTTTTATTATATATTCCACTTTAAGTGGATAATTGGGACCTGTCCATACACCAAAAATACATCCTTTTCGTCCTGTAATATGTAATTGGCCTTGTATTTGATAATACCATTGATGGTGGATATTAATGTCAAAATTATTGGTGTCTTTATTAAAAATCCAAAAGAGTTTTCAATTTAATCGCCTCTTCTACCTGCATTTGACATGCAGCTTATGGACATTTTATTTCAACCACTAATTCATCTCCTACAATGTCGTCTGGAGTAGCACCTACAAATTTAAAAATTATTATTTTGATTTAAAATGAACTAATTTGCAATATGTTATAGTTGAGATGTGAGTAAAAATGTGAACTGATCGTTATGATGGATATTTTTGTCAATAAAAATTCCACAATCTCTAATCACTCTATTTTCCTGCTCTTGAAGCTGCAAAAGTGCCGTTTTTTCATACTTTTTATCATGAGAAATAGGAGCAGCATTGACTGGTGGTTGTTAAATAATCATTTTGACTAAAGGCTCACATAAAGTAGTAATTCGTCTAGTACACACTGCTTATGTGAGGCCGTAATCATTTTTCTACGAATTTCAAGCCAAACCCTGCTATCCGCCTGTGACATAGTTTGTTCCTGAATTACATTTCTTTTAACGTCAGATGAAAGGAATTTGAAGTTTTTACTTCATAAATATCTTGATCTAAACCTTTTTGGTACAATTTTCTCCATAATCTAAATCAGTTTTATTGGTTTTTGCAGAATAACTTTTTTTTAATTTGCGATTAGATCAGTTACTAACATGGATTGGTTAGTACGGTTTAAAGTTTTTTTCAATTCTCAATTCCCTGATTTCGAATTATATGATACAACTGCTGCAAAACATCTACTTTGGTAAGAGCGCCCTCTGGAATAATTGATTCTTTTGCCACCTACAAACTTAGCGACTGTCGCATGAAATTGTTCCACAATATTACTATCAACATCATGTAATAGACTTCTGCTGTGATCTGACAAAGCATGTATAATTTGAAGAAGTCTTTTAAAAAATTCAGGTTTAGATCTGAAATTGGTTATTTCGTTTTTGGTTTCATTTGTATGCTTCTGACAAAAATATTCTCTTTTGGTTTGATTATAAGTCTTCTACCATTCTGATTTGTGCCAGTATTCCTGCAACCCCTTACGATTACAAGAAGTAAATTTTGGAATGACTAGATTTTCTGTTAAGGCAGACTCAGTTTGAAGTCTAGGGAGTCCAATCTCTAATAAATATCGCAGTTTTTATGATCACCAAAAACGTTAAAACTTGCATTGTCTATGTCTTTCTTTAAAAGCAAAACGTTATTAATAGTGCTAAGACTATTTTATTTTCTATAAAAAACTGCCTTCGTAACAGATGTTCTTAAACGAAGAATGTTTTGACTAACTAATTTTCTTAGTTTTATTGGAAAATTCACATATAACTTTCTCTTTTAGGCTCAAAATTTTTCTAAATACGTTTAAATCTTCAATTTACCGGTATAACTAAATAAATCGCCGATCCATTTCCTATGATAGGGGAAATGTGGCTCGACGACCCGTTCTTGGAATTTTGAAGGTAGGGGTATAATAGGAGTAATATGCCGACAAATTAGTTCTCATGAACGCAGCAATAACTCTAAACTCTTTAAACATTTATTTACTTAAAATGTGTTACATTTAGAAGGTATGTTATTAACTTTCTATTTGTACATGTATTAGTTTATTTTATTTTATCTTTGTTTGTTTTTTTTTTAAATTGATTTTGATAATAATCTTATGTATTTCTGTTTCTTTTATATTCACATATATGTTTTTTCATTGAAACAAACGTTTATTAGCTTATTAAATATATTGTTTTATTATATGCTTGTATGAGTTATTATTTTTTTTTTATTTAAAAATGAATTTCAAAGATAAAGTCGAAACGGTAAAAGAATAAAAAATTAGACAAAAATGACGATATTTACTGAAGTTTTCATCTATATTCTCCTTTTTCTAGCCTATCTACACCTTAGTCAGCAAGATTCGCCTTTTCCCCATCCTTACATCTTCAAGATTTATAGTGAAAACGCCGGACCATCTTTGACGGGACTATATCACTTCTTTACATTATTAGTCTTATTTGTTATCCCAAGCAATTCAAATGTATTCCTAATTGCTTATTTTCAGCTTTTCTATTGTAAATTCCGTACCTATTTTTCCTATTTTTAGTTAAGTTTGCACTGCTCTTTTATTTTTCTTTTCCACAGCCTTAATTCTATAATACTTAACACTACAATATGGATCCATTTTTGTGATTTGTACTATTTAATTTTAATCGAAAGTGACCAACGTATTCTTATATTATTCTTAATTAAGAATACTTGTATTACAGGTCTGAAGATGTCCCTGTGAAGCCAAAACTAGTCACTGCTGTATTTATTTATAATAAAATTGATGTAATGATTCTGAAATTGTATTCTTTAACTGAAAAAATTAGAACTTTACAGAGATTTTGTTCAATTTCCTGCATCAGACACATATAAGACGGTATGCATTTTAAAACTAGTAAAATTAGCGAAATTTTTAGTTTTATTTTACAATTAAAAAGTTTGGACAAAGTGTATTCGTACAGAAAAATGATACGCCACTGAATAAGAGGGGTTGCAACAATCGCCTACAAACTCATTTCACGCTCCCTCTAGTGGTAATTGCTGGGAGATTTCATTCGTAAAAAAATGGACAATAATGAAATGTCTGTTTACGGCTGAAATGGTAGCAGACTTCTGCACAAAACTTGTACCAAAACCAAAAATCAAATTTGTTTTTATGGAGTAGTAAAATAATTATACTCCAATTTATAAAAGTTAACAATCTAACAATTCTTTGGGATCCTTTACTTGAACATATCCATTTTTCCACATTGTGTTATATCTTAGTCTAATCTGAAAATTAATGAGATGCTTCTGATTTACTAGTCCAAAAATATAACCATACCAAATTTCAATTTAATACTTAACGAAAATATTGCAAAAAAAATCATTTTAACATCTTGTCAGAAGTAGATAGATAACATTTTTTGAACCAGTGCTATTTAGTCCTGAAGTTATGATTAAAATATTTACCACTCCTTATGAAACACCCTGTATAGAGCAATTTTTTGTGTGGCTCTGTTATATTTATAGACATTTCTGTAGTAATTCTCCGGGATCTGTAAATGACAGCAGTATAGATGAAAAATACAAAATATCTTAAGAGTACTTCTCCAATACAAAACCACTGTCTAAGTGATTTTTAGTTTATTTTCTCATGCCACTATTTTTAATTATTTACTTAACCTCGTAGAAACCAGTTTAACCTCACTAGTTTTAACTTTGCTATTTGGGTTGTACGAAAGCGTGTAGAAGCTATTTTACATAGCGAGTAACTGGCCTGTCTTAATTCTAGTTAGTTTTAATTCTGAATAATTATTGAGGTTGTTAAGAATTGTCATATTTTAAAGAGTTATTACTTAATCTCTTAATATCTGTTTATATTTGATAGACGCGTATCGATTGAAAAAAATCTATTGATATACTACGATAAGATAAAAATTTTAAAGTAACTTGAGAAGTATGCCTAATATTTCTCTTAAAATAGTATATTGATACATAGCCACTTAAAAGATAATTAATATAAGAAATTCCTAGAGTTCTATTGCTAGTTATAAGAATTAAGCTGACAGGCAAGTAAGTGAATATTTTGTTAGTTTTACCATAGAATACCTACCCAAAAAGCGAAACTAAATGGTCGATTCGTGGACAAAAAAACTGCCAAGTTTTCTCAGTGTTTAAGAGATGGTTTAACGTCAAATATAGCTGTACCTTTTGGTATATTAATATTTACGTTTTTTTGAAAATTTCAGTATTAGTTAAGTAGTTTATTTAACTAAGTAGTAATCAGATGTTATATATAGTTTTAAGATTTTGATTGCAATGAAAAAAATACATTGCGTACGTAAATTTTAATGAAAGTTCTTGAATCCTGATGTAAATGTTTTATGTTTTAAATTACCTGTAGTAGCAATTTACGCCTACGTATTATGCAGCGTTTAATTTAATAGTCTAATATTTAAAATATGCTTTTTTTGTTTTTTAAACCACAATAATACAAACAATTAAAATATATAACAAAATCATTCCAAGGAGCAAAGCCGCTGCTATCAGCATGCAATCTAAATGGGTGATTCTATTCTAACTGTTACTTTTTTGATTAAAAATTTTAAGATTTTGAAATTTAACTTTTTAAATTTTTTGATGCATATTATTCATCTATTTTACTGTTAAAATAAAAGCCTGAGAGGATTTTACTACAACTTGAAATCGTCAAGAATGAGAAACATTTCAAATTTTACTCTTTGATAACCTATGTTTAAATTTTAATTAGGACCAAAATAAATTATAATTTTCACTTCAACTACAAAAACCCTCATAATATTAAAAAGGGGAAAAACGTTAGATTAGTTAGGTTCAGGAATAAACTCTTTAAACATTTATCTACTTAAAATGTGTTACTTTTAGAAGGTATGTTATTAACTTTCTATTTGTACTTGTATTAATTTATTTCATTTTATTATCTGTTGTATTTTCAAATTGATTTTGATATTAATCTTATCTATTTGTATATTTTTTATACTCACATATATGTTTTTTTCATTAAAACAAACGTTTATTAGCTTATTAAATATAATAAATTCATGTTGTTTTATTATATGCTTGTATGAATGATTACTTTTATTTCCTTTTAAAAATGAATTTCGAAGATAAAGCCGAAACGGTGAGTGAGAATAAAAATTAGACGAAAGTGACGATATTTACTGGAGCTTTCATCTACACGCTCCTTTTTCTAGCCATCTACACCTGAGCCAGCAAGATTCGTCTTCCCTCCATCCTTAAATTCTCCAGATTTACAGAGAAAACGCCGTCCTCTTTAACATATCCAGACCTTCTTTGATGGGGACTATACCACTACATTATCAGCTTTATTTGTTATCCCGAGCAATTTAAATGCATTCGTAATTGCTCATTCTCACCTATTCTTTTGTAGATTCCGTACTCAGTTTTCTTATTTTTAGTTACGTTTGCACTGCTCTTTTATTTTCATAGCTTTAATTCTATAATACTGTAACGCTACAATATGGATCCATTTATGTGGTTTATACTATTTAATGTTATTCGTAAGTGACCAACCTATTATAATAATTAAAGATTATTGTATTACAGGCCTGAAGATGTTCCTGTAAGGCCGAAACTAGTCGCTCCTGTATTTATAATAAAATTTATTTTAAGGTTTTATTCTTCAATTGAAAAAATTAGACCTTTACAGTGATTTTGTTTCTTTTTCTGCATTAGACATATATATGACGGTATTCATTTTAAAAATAGTAAAATTAGCAAATTTTTAGTTTTTTTTTTACAATTAAAACGTTTGGACAATGTGTGTTTTTATAGATAAATGATACGCCACTGAACAAGAAGGATGTTTACCTTCCCCCTTGTGCCCGCTTCCTCACTTCCTCTACAGATGTTGCTAACACAACAATCGCCTACAAACTCGTTTTCACGCTCCCTCTATTAGTAATTGCTCGGAGATCTAAATACATGGGTGTTGAATATTTCGTATGAACACCATTTTTTTAAGTTATGTCGTCTGTCAAGTCTTCTGTCACATTTGATTACCTATTAAATATTAGTGTGGTTTTCTGTTTATTTGAAGATTGTTTATAAGGTATAAAAGGTGTAATTCGAAGTAGAACAGCAAAGTTTTGATTTTTAATTGTTGGAGAGTTGAATTTTTAACAAAAGTCTTAACAAACGTTTAAAAAGAACAATTTAAGACAATGGCAATAAATGAATCGCAGAGATAGAAGACGATCTTTATATTAATCAAAGATTTTTAAAACAAGGGAAGCCATTTAGTGAACTATTTCCACTCATTTCAAACGTTTTCGTTTCTATTTCGCTTCAAAACTGTTTATTCCATTTATTGTAAACAAAACCTTACGTGAATGCGATGGGTGATGTAATGTGAATATTTGAAATTAATTTCTACAAAATAGCTCAATAGTGACATAAAATGTAGACCAAATGCATCCTATACATTTTGGCAACATAGATCTGAATAAACGTAAGTAAATTCACTTTCTCCGAGAATCCAGCATTTATGTGTTGTGTGAATGGCGCGTAAACAAAGAAGTAGAGACGTAAATGACAAGGAGAAGTTGCCTCAAAGCCCAGTAAATAAATTCCAGGGTTGGCTTTGTTCAGCTTTCATGTTCATGTTCAGTTTTTGTTACTTTTTTGTGTTGTGGCTGTTGTAAGCTTTTTTGATGTAGGTTTTTTTTGGCTTGTTTATATGTGTAATTTCTTGGGCTTTGATTTCGATTTAGTTTTAAATTATACCTGATAATTATTTTCCGAAGTACTGTTTTATAATTGTTGCACCTCGTAGAAACCAGTTAACGTCACAATTTAGTTTGAACTTTGCTATTTGAACTGTATGAAATGTACATCGATTAAAAAATATTTACTGCTGTACTTACTATAATGAGATAAAAATTTAAAAATAACATGATTGAAAACACTTTTCGAAATTCCTATACAAAATATTTCTCTCCAAGTGTAAAAATAGTACCCCAGCCACTTAAAATAAAATAATAAAGGTGACAGGCAAGTATTGTATCTATTTGATTATTATTATTAATAGTAGCATAATTTTATTTTAAATACATCTAGGTGTGATCTTTTTGATGTAATAAATTTGATATCGCATTTTAATTACTGAATTTTTGTCATAATATATATCAAATTATTTGTTAGATTTGTTGATAGCGAATTTAATAATAGTGTTATCGACAAATTTAAACCTAGTATTACGTTTAATATGTTTTGTTCTTGAGGATCACCAGCGGATTTCGCGTACTTGGGCTACATTCACAGTAATTTTAAATATTTTATGCCAAGTTTAAGACAGAGCATGTCTTAGTGGTAAAAAACAGTAACAAATATTTTTCAATACTGAATGAAAAGTATCCTTTTCGAAGACTGTCATTTAAAGTTGACTTTTACATATAGGACGATATTTGTAATTTAAAAATATCTATTATAACAGTATAATAAGAATGTAAGGGATTCGAATCTTCCCGCTTTATTTTTTTTTCAATTTTTCAATTATTGTTTTCACTTTGGGCGTTCTAACATGTTCGATATTTTGTATGGGTAATTTTGAAAAGTATTTCAAAATAATTTATACTACTATTTTTGCTTAATTTTAGAACAAAATGTTGTTTACCAACAGCATAAAAGCTGATTTCCTAGGAGTGTTCGCAGCATTTCTAGCAATTCTTGTAGTATGGCACATCTGGGCACTTAACTATTGGAAACGCAAGGGAATCTTAGGTCCCAAACCAGTATTTTTATTTGGTAATATGAGGGATTTCTTTTTGGGAAGCAAATCGATAGGCGAATGTTTTAGAGATGCGTACTTTGAGTATAAAGCACAAGGTACGTATTAATGTGAATCTATTTCATTATTTCTTTCATTTTTTATTCTAGTTCATTATACTTTTTCTTCTGTTTCTGTTTCTTCACATCTATTTATTTTTTTTTATTGTTCTTCTATATTACGTATAAAATTTATATTAAGACTGTAGTACAGGTAAAAGCTGTAAGCTGAATTACACTTTAACACTGTTTCATTATTAATTACCCTTTCCAGTTCCACATATTTAACCCTAGTACCACCAGGTGACGCTGAGTTAGACGAGTGTAATGTGGTTTGTTCTATCATTTGTCGACTAAAGTGTCGGATCCGACTCCACCTGGTGGTTTATGCAATAATTTTTACATTTATTTTTATTTATGCAAAATGGCTAATCGAAGGTTGCTATCAAAAAAAGAATTATTGGCCGAAATTGCGAAAATAGAAGAGGGGGACAGTGACGATGAATCAATAACTGGCAATATAAGTGAAACAGAAGATGCCGTTTTATCAGATGATAATCCAGAAGATGACGATTATGTGCCTCCTGCAGATTCCTACGAAAGTGACAACTCCATTGAGCATAATAATACTACATCAGAGTATGGAAGCTCTGAAACAGGTGAGAGAAATTTTGTTCTGGGTGAAGATAATACAACTATTTGGACTGACACACCGTTGAGTAGCATTTATTCTCGTTGCCGTGCAAAGAACATTGTTACTCATCTTCCTGGACCAAAAGGTAGAGCCAGAGGTCTTACAAGTGTCATAGATATTTTTCATCTTTTTGTTACCGACAAGATGATTGAAATGGTAGTGAGGCACACTAATGAGGAAATCGAGAAATGGAAACTGACATATACTGGTGATTCTCAACAATCGTACACTAGTCTGGCCCATAAATCGTAACTAAAATCATACATTGGTCTTCTATATATGGTTGGTGTGCTGAAACAATTAGGCCTGACAGTGCTAGATCTTTTCTCCCCAGTTTTTGGTCCTAGTCTATTTCGATATGTAATGGGTAAAAATCGCTTTGAGTTTTTACTGCAGGTTCTTCGATTTTATTCTAAAGTTGCAAGAGCAGAACGGAGAAAAACTGAGAAATTTGCGCCTTCCAGAGAATTTTGGAATTTGTTTGATCGTTTGATCGCAATTGCAGGGAAAACTACACGTCACCGTTGATGAGACTTTGCTCAGTTTTAGAGGCAGATGTACATTCCAAATAAACCTGATAAGTACTGATTAAAAATTGTTTCCCTTTGCGATGCTAGAACATATTATTTCTGTGGATGAATCCCATATGTTGGCAAAGAAGCCAGACAGCAAAGTGATTTGCTGTTAACAACACAATATGTGCTGACTCTGACAGAATGTATAAAGAACATTAACAGAAATGTGACGACTGATAATTGGTTTTCATCTCGTCAATTGGCTGAAGAACTTAGAAATAATAAACTAATGATAATGACGTACGTCCGAAAAAAAAATTCTAATTCTAATTCTAATCTCATCCATGCATTCCCTTGGAGATATAGATACACTTACAAACAAACCCGAGATAATAGAGTTTTACAACATGACAAAAGGTGACTAGTTGTGCCATTCTAAAACCACAAAAAGGAAATCAAACCGTTGGCCTATGCGGTACTTTTTTTGGTGTTCTTGATGCTGCTGCAGTAAATGCCTTCCTAATTTATAAACTAAATGTGGATAACCCTGTGTCACGGTCTCAATTTCTGAGAGACTTGTCATTCGCTTTAACAGCTAGTTATATGGAGCAGAGAATGGAAAATCCAAGGATAACAATTAGTTTACGAACGCAAATTAGTACCTTGCTAAATAAAGAACTTCCCGTTGCGAGTATGGCTGATGATACCCGTGAAGTTCGTTCCAAAAGACCAGGTCTCTGTGCCTTCTGTGTGTAATAGGCAAAAGAGAAGAAGAGGAAACCATACTTGTGGCCACTGTAAAAAAAGTGTGTGTGGTAAGCACAAACGAATTGTTTGCTCCCAACATTACAATATCAATAAATAACTTTTTTATTTTTGAAATGTTTTTAGACGTTTAAATATTTGTTGGTCTTTGAACAAATCTTTTTAAGTTCTAAATAAGATATCTTTTTTTCATTAATACCTTTATTACACAAAATAATGTTAAAATAAGGGTAGTGTCGTATCCGACTTCACCTGGTGAGATATTTCCCAAGGTTCACCTGGTGGTACTAGAGTTAAATATTATTTTTTTGGGGGTAGGTGTGCTAGGGTCTAGTATATTTTTTCTATGATATTTGATTTAAACAATTTTGGACCGTACTTAACTGAAATTAAACCACGTCTCAAAAGAAGACTCGAAGAAAATGTTTTCACACAAAAAGTTTGACAATATCAACAACTGTAAGCTTTTCGAAATATTTCAGGGACAAAAAATTACTATATTGTAATTGAACCATATAGAAGATTTCCGTATTCTAGCTTCGGTTTTTAAGAACTATTCTATATCGCCCTTTGATTAGGGCTTACAGATTGTTTGAACTTGGGTCTTTTGTTTCTTAAGCCAGATCATTTAAAACTATTTGGTCACTTTACCCCTATCTATTTACATATAATTGGTATATTTACCTCTTCTGCTTTTACTTTTAAAATATTTAGACCCTCAACTCCATAGTAAAAATAATTGGCCCCTTTTGTTTTTAAGATTGTCATTGTAAAAATATTTACCCAGAATTAGTAGCTCTTTGTTTTCGACACTAATATATTAGCCACCTTTTACGAGGCTAACTAAGTTCATTTCCATTTCCTTAAATTTACTTATATTTTGCAGGAAAACGCTACCTCGGATTCTTCATAACTGGCCAAGCCCACTTCGTTCCCATAGATTTGGAGCTGGTGAAATCGATTCTACAAACAGATTTTCCAAATTTTCACAGCCATGGCACCTATTACAACGAGGAAGATGATCCGTTGTCTTCGACCATCTTCAATTTGGACGGTCCCAAATGGAAAAACGTTCGCGTCAAACTTACGCCTACTTTCACGTCTGGAAAGATAAAAATGATGCATCAAACGCTTCTTGATTGCTCGTACGGTCTGAAGGATTTATTTGCTGAAAGTGAAAATGGTCCGATTGAGATTAAGGAGATTATGGCGAGGTTTACCACAGATGTTATTGGTGAGTTACTTTTGATGGAGAATTTATTTTATACAATTTAATATATGGGGTGTTTCAAAATTAAAGGTAAATGTTTTAATAGCTCATTATAATGTTGCAAATGAGGTAGAAAGTTTTTATAAATGTATTCATATGATAATCAAACTTATGAGTATAAAATAACAATAAACTCACCTTTTAAACTTGCTCAATAACTTGAAATCAATCACAAGATCGTAATGTAAAAAGTAACACTGAGCAATACCTGAAATCTGCGTAGTTGAAATAACTGTAAATAGCTTCAAGTGAGAACTATAGTTAAATATACGACATAAAAATTAATGACGTCACAACCCAATAAGTATATTTAAGGACAAACATTTATATGATACAGTTAACTATACGAGGCCTGTCTAAAAAGTATCCGACCCTTGGCCAGAAAAAATATGTCCAATACCTGACGGAGTTGGGACCCTAATCCCCTTCAAAGTAGGCCCCTTGTACTTGCACACACTTAGCCCACCGATCCTTTCACAGCTGAAAACACCTCTAGAAGTCTTCTTTTGGAATGGTGTTCAGCTCCGCATTATCTCTTCTCTACTCCCAAAACGGGATCCTTTCAGTTGCGTCTTCAATTTTGGAAACAACCAGAAGACGCAAGGAGCCAGGTCTAAAGAGTAGGGATGAATGTGCAGGGGCATTGTCATGATGCAAGTGCCAGTTGATCGCCGTCCACATGCCTGGTATTTTGCACCGAACTGCATCATGGAGTTACCGGAGAACATCTTGATAGTACTCCTTTGTCACTGTTTGTCCTTCTGGTGCGTATTCGTGATGCACAATTCGACAAACATCAAAGAAAACAGTCAGCATCACTTTGATTTTGCTTCACACCTGACGCGCTTTCTTTGACCTTGGAGAATCGGGATGCTTCCATTGCGACGACTGTCTTTTTGTTTTTGGATCATACCCGTACACCCATGACTCATATCAAGTTATCAGGGTGTTCAGAAACCCAGAATCAGTATTGGCGGTGTCCAGAAGGTCTTGTGCAATGTCAAAACGAAGTTTTTTTTTTGTTCCGGCGACAACAACTTGGGTAAAAATTTTGCAGCCTCCCGGTACATGTTCAAATCTTTACGCAAAATTGCATGTGCAGAATCTTTACTCACTCCAACCTCTCATGCAATCTCCCGCACTGTCAAACGACTATCTGATCTTATCAAATTTCGCACCCTCTCAACATTAGCTGCACTCCGAGCAGTTTGGGGCCTGCCACAACGCTGCTCACTCTCTGCTGATGTGCGGCCAACTTTGAATCGGTTAAACCACTCCTTAATTTGTGTTACATTCATCGCATCTTCTCCAAACACTTGCTAAATCTTACAAATTGTTTGGCTTTGAGAATCACCAAGCTTTTGACAGAATTTGATGAAGTATCTTTGCTCAATTCGTTCAGTCATCTTGCGAGAAAACTATATCCGACGAAGACTAAGAACAGTACCTTACTTGGCGACCCACAACTAGCGACTTGCACAAGCGAACGAGGTGAACAAATTCAAGCATGCGCATTAAGGTTCCTCCTTCCACCGTGCATAGTGGCGCCGCCTTAGAATCACTACTTTGCTCGGGAAAAATATAAGTATTTTGACTATAAATATTAGAAGAATTGCAACCCGCTACCACACCTAACACATAGACTTGGCTACTTGTAGTCCATAAATAATT